GCAGAGGGATTAGCTCTTGGGCTAACATACACAGCAGCCAGAAACACAGCACTATGCTATCTTGCTAGATAATAGGGCCGGCATTTCAGCAATAAAAACTCTGCGTCTGGTGAACAGTGCTTATAAACAGTCTGTACATCTCCACACCATGAGTTATTGATAAACACACACACACCACCTCCTTTTACCTTCCCCAAAGCAGCAGTGCAGTCACCTCGATGTACAGTGTGTGTTTGTAGATGAATCACAATCGGGGACTCTGTCAGAAAGCCAAGTCTCAGTGAGAATTAGAGCACAGCATTCTCTGATTTCCCGGTGTGCTGTAATCCTAGCCCTTAGCTTGTCCAGTTTGTTTTCAAGAGATTGTACGTTGGTTAGGAAGTGGCTGGGTAATGGCGGTCAAGTAGCGCAAGCTTTTAGCCTAGCATGGAGTCCTCCTCGCTTGCGTCTCCGTCTCCGGGTTGCTCTCCTGATTTCAGCCTGTTCGCTTGTGCCTTGTGCTCCGGGGGCTCCCTGAGGGTGATGGTGGATTTAGTCGTTGTTGTTGTTGTTGCTGCGGGAGTGGCCAATGAGTTGTAGCTCCGGTGGTATAAGTGGCGTTGTGAGTTGGTGATATCCAGCAATGCCTGTCTGTTGTATGTAAGCAGTGCCTGACATTTGTGCACTGCAGAAAAAGTTAAAAAAAAACACACAAAAAAGAAGAAAAAGCCAGCATTCGAGAGTGGAACGCGCAAACATGTCCGCCTCGGTGGGCGCCATGTTTACCAGGTAGCCTATCGTTCGGTAAGGCAGCTGTTGTGCTGTATTATGGGATTTGTAGTTTGTGTGTTATCAGTGCTTCATATCACCGGGCCATTAAAAAAACCGGGCCGGATGTAATTGTACACCGGGCCAAATCTGGCCCGCGGGCCTTGAATGTGACACATTAGACTATAATGTAACAAATATAAAATTGTCTGTTTCTTTGTCATTTTTTTTTCTTATTATTCAAAGATCTGGGGGCAGTTGTCCCTTTTGTTACATTGAGGGTGTCAGCCCTATTTTAGGTGAGATCACATGGAATAATATTAAGTCACTCCTTAGTTCAGAAAGTATGCTTAGTTTAAAATTTAGGAATCTGATGTTGTTTACCATCAGTCCAGGCTTCAGCTTCAGCAGTGGTGTCAGCAGCTCAGTGCTAGACCAGCACAGTGCTAATGTTAGCAGCTAATGGTTACCAACAGTACTACAGTTGTTAGCATTAAGTCATCATCACCACATAAGACAACAAATCTAGGCAGTAGCATTACTAATTACTGGAGTTTGATAAGGCTGAGGATGGTTTATAAGGTCAAATAATATTCATGATTGTGTATATAACAGGCTGTACAAGTCATTAAGGATGGTAATTTGCTGATAAATCCCACTGTTCCCGATAGAAAAAATTGGATCTGAATCGGCTCTTCGGAACTATTTAAAGTTACGAGTCATGTGACCCACTGCCGTGGTATGATATATACTTTTATGTTTGAAATGAAAATAGTTCAGATTTCAGTTTATATTTGACATTCAAAATTTTTTGGTTGCAAAGAAATGTATTTTATTGCAGTACCAATATTTTGTTTTCAAATACATTTCCTTTGACTGAAGAATAAAGAAACTAACTTAGCATCATAAATGATCTCCATGCACAAAATATTAAATTTAAAACTTGGTAGCAGTGTCTAGTGTGGAGGCTGAAGGGAATCCTGGGAGTCGTAGGTGGAAACAGAGCAATGACTCAGCATTTCCTGTTTCAGCCTGACCATGACTCAGCAGACAGAAGCCCCTCCCCTCCCCCTCCCCACGCAGAGTCACAGCCAAGTCGATACCACACCACCACCAAGACCATCCGCCGAAACACACACAGAGGTACCTGTCTGTTACCTGTCCATCTGCTCTTACCCGTCATTCATTCAGATTGATAATAATGGGAAAATAACTGATTTGTTCTCATCCAGAATGTTGAAGCATAATACAAGCTGAGGCACAGAGGTCAGGCTTCGTACACCATGGTGCGCACATATGCACCTCGTGCACATCGTAGCTGGTGCACAAAACAAAAAGGAATGGACTGTATGTGATGAGCACTCAGTTAAGTTTTAGAATATTACCGATGATACTAAAACATTACTGACTCCTGTAGAGGGACATGAGACAATTTACATTTAACAAAGGGACCGTAGGCAGGAGGGGGGGTGTGGAGGAAGCTGTCTATGCAGGGACCTCTATGGAGAGCGTCATCACCAGCCACCAATACAGTTCTGAGGTAATCAGATCATCGATATGTTAAGTGGCCTTAAGAGTTTTTTTTAATGATTTGTTGATAGATTATCTTGTGAAAGAAGAATGCAAAGAAATGTGCAATATAGGGCCTTGACTTTTACACCACGAAAACATGTTGAGAATGTTCTTAATGTATGTTGAAATAAATATTTTCATAAAGATTAATATCACTACATTTTACCTTTACCAGTAGGTGTTTCAGTGTAGCAGCAGTATGGCAGTGGGAAGTTCACATAGCCCAATGGATAGCACATTTCATTCGTGCAGCAGACATTCAAGAAAAATAATTGTGTGTGATTTGAGCAATGGGGGCCTTTACCCCAGTAGAACTTTGTCTAGCAACACACCTCACAGGTGGGGATAAACAAGACAAATTAATAATATTGTTCTGTCAAACGTGTTTACAGTTCGACCGACCCTTCCTGCATTTTTCTTTGAGGATGAACTCCCTGGACATCCACACACACGCTCTCCGACTCTCAGCCCCTCCCCTCCTCACACACTCTTACAACCTGGCAGTCAGTCCAGAAGAGCTGATTGGCTGCTGCGGGATTCTCCATACTCAGAGGGTGTGGCCAATCACAAACTCGGCAGTGCCTGTTGGGACTGTCTGTGTTTCCATGGGGATGACAACAGTGACATGCCTGTGAGTCGGATATATTTTAAAGTCCTTTTTAGGGACCAACTACACATCCCAAAACACTTTGGGGGTGTGTAAACAGGAAGTAAGTTAGTTACTCTGTGAGCTGCATGTTTTTGTTTCCTTTTAGTCAGTGTCCCAACTACCAGCAGCAGAATGAGCAGCGAGCAGCTGCTGTGTGCAGTGTCCCCATGAATGTACACACAACTGTCACTGCATCACTGTGAGCCTGAAGGAAACTTAAAAACAGAGGATTCTCAGGCAGGTTCTGCAGCTGCTCCTTTGGTTTCTTAGTGGATTTATCGAGGTTTATTCTGGAGGGACATCAGAGATAATGAGATCCTCAGGAAGTAGACGTCACACTGAGTCGTGTTCACATTTCACTGAGTTGGGGTTCTGAGAAAAGTACAATTTTTGACATAAACCTTTGTAAATGGGTTCAAAGTGTTTTAAAGGAAGACCTGTATGTCTGTGTGTGCACGCGTGCAGTTCCTACCTGTCGCTCCCTCTCATGGTCTCACCTGGGCAGATGACCTGTCATTATGTGACCTTGCCCGACTCAGCTTCTTCGCTCACATCGAGCTCTCCACCTTCCTGCTCGCTCTGGGCATCCAAACCAAACACACCCGCCTACTGTGCCGCAGGACTCAAGGTGCGTGTCACTTTCACAACACAGCTGAGGGGTTTACTCCAGTGTGGTGTCAGATAGGGAAGGCTGCTGACTGGGCACTTGGGGTGGCCATGTCAACACTGAGGCAGTTTATTGGTTGAGTCTTTGGTTCACCATTTCTTTGTGTCAACATTTAACAGCCTGCTGTCAAAATGGACAGTGTGTAATGTGTGAGGCATCAGTACACAGATATTTAAAAATATCATTCTGAAGTAAAAGTTTTTACAGCTACATTCAGAGCACAACAAGTGTTCATGCACAGTTTTGATAGAACAGGTTTATATCAGTGTCTGCAAAATACATGAACTGAAATGAAATAATAACCCTTTACATCTGTGTTTGTTAAAATTAGTTTCTCCTCTTCCTGCCTGTCTCAGTCGGTGGTGTGTTCGGTGTCCCTCTGAACTCGCTGTTGGAGAACGACAGTAAGAAGTTTCCAGGAGTCAAAGTTCCTGTCATCTTCCAGAAGGTGAAAACCAAACATGTCTTTTGCCTGCATGCCTATCTGTCTCTGTCTGCAACAATAAACAACCAGGGATGCCTCTACCTGTGTGTATGCATGTAGTTGCTGTGTATTTTAGAGCAGACCGGACTGCACACTGAGGGGATCCTTAGGGTCCCAGGATCTGCTGCAAGACTGAAGGTAAACCTCACCACAGAATGTAACTCTGACATGAAGTACATTTACTCAAGTACTATACCAAAGTACAGCTTGGAATCTGTCTGTTTGTCTGTAGTACCTGCGTAGAGAGTTAGACAGGTGTGTCGGAGGCTTTGACTGGTCTGCAGTGCAACAGGTGGATGCTGCAGGTCTGCTGAAGCTTTTCATCCGGGAGCTTCCGATACCTCTGCTGACACACACACACCTGTCGACCTACCGCTCTGTGCTGGGTACACGCACCTATTTCAGTAACTTAACCTTACCTGATTCCATCAGTGATGATGTGACGACCTTCTACCACTGTTGGGACAAAACTCTGGTCCCTACATGGTAGAAAGACCAGTCTGGGTCATCTGTCTCTTCTAGTCTGGGTCAGGTTTCTGTTCTAATCTGGTCAGCTTGTGTATTCTGGTCCAGCCCCTGATGTCTGTGGACTAGCCCTGAACTATGTCTCTTGGATCTGCAGGGACTGGTCAGCAGCTACTGGTGCCCAGAGTTTGAACCAAACAAAGAACGTTTAGCCATGACGCTACCCACAGCTGGAACCAGCACCCATTAGAACTGAGATCTGCCCCAGCTGGAGCCACTTTTAAAATTAAAGACTCTTTCTTTTTTCTACTGCTTTTAATTAATGTATCTCAATTCTACTGTTATGCATTTAATCTGCTTTTAACTTTCTTCCATTACTCAGTGACTGGTCGACTTCACTGTGCTGTTTAGTTGACTGTATAGACACTGGTGTAGCAGGGGGTGCACAGTGTACTGAGAGCAGTGGGAATCCAGTCTGCCACAGCTGTACAAAAATACTAGCTATCCACACCTACATGTTGCTACTTTGTCTTGTCGTGTAATTGTTGCATTTGCATTTAACATGTTAATCTAATTTGTGTTTTCTCTGTGTGCATTGTCTTAAGCGCTGTGAATGGCCTTTGAGCAAGAAAATGCGCTATATCAATGAGCCTGCCTTGCCTTGTTGTGCGTCTCTGTAGGGATCTCTTCAGTGGTCCACCAGGTCCAGGCACTGCAGCTGCTGACCTTGTTGCTTCCTGAAGCCCACAGAGAGACGCTCCGAGTAAATTCCCACACAACTCTGAGATCCTCAAAATAATTCCACCTTGTGACCTTAAAAGCTTTATTATGGCTCTGTCTTCTACCTTAAATTTCTGCATTACTATATTCCATCTTAAAGCTTTAGGTCTCTGTCCACCCTACTTCTTTGCATCTCCACCATCCACCTTAAGCTTTACATCTCTATCCTCCATCTTAAATTTCTGTAATATCCACCAGATCCTTTTGTGATTCTTCCATCCACTTTAAATCTTTTACATTTGTTCTTTCCACCTGAAATGTTTACATCTTTATTGTCCACCTTAAATGCTTACATGTCTGTGGTCCACCTTGGATTTTCACGTCACCATCGTCCACCTTAAATTTTTTACAGCTCCTCTTTGCACTTTAAATGAACAGAAACTTGGATCTGTTTCCATGGCTACAGGCCCTGTTAGTCTTCCTGCGTAAGGTGGTCTCTCATCAGGACCAGAACCGGATGTCTCTGTGGAATGTCTCCATTGTGATGGCACCCAACCTGTTCACCTGGCGTCACCGTGGCAATAAGCGCTCCGTCACCAGGCAACGGGAAGAGATGGAGGAGGCAGTGGGTGGGGCTCACCTGATCCAGCTCATGATTACACATCAGGACCTCCTGTGGACTGTGAGTCTCAGGACGCATATGTACAGACTCCATGACATCCCTCTCATCTGTCTGTGACATCACTTCCTGTTTCTTGTCACAGGTCCCCACCTTTTTGCTGTCTCAGGTGAGGCAGTTGAACCAGGTGTCTAATCAGAAACAGTTCAGCCTGAAGACGAAGAAACTGCTACGAAGGAAGGACAAGAATCAGGTGAGACCCAGACCAGAAACAGGGACACAAGAGACAGGTCATGAACCAGAGAGCTCATACTGTTTGTCCTCTGATGTCATCAATATGACATCACACCTGTGTGTGCATGTGCAGATCACGGAGCTGTGTGAAGGTTTGATCCGGGTCCACGCCCCCCTACACCCCAAGGTCTCCATGGCAATACAACTTGACGGACAGATGCGAGCCAAAGATGTCACCTCCCGCTTTGAGTGTGAGAACAGGTAACGTGCAGACATTGGAAAACATGCTCACACGCCCCCACAACACACTCTCCAGGTAGAATATCTGTCATTCAGCCTGCCTGCCCCTCTGGCCCTGTTTAGACCTGGTATTCAACACCGACATCCGAACGCCAACGGTCAGCTGGGCACCTTGAAGATGTACGTATAGGTGTAAACAGTGATGTGTCTTGGCTGTTTACACCTATACGTACATCTCCAAGGCACCCAGCTGACCACTTGTGTTCAGAATTCACTACTGCTGTGACACTTCCACTTAAATATCAAATGGCCACTGGTACAGTCTGTATCCAGACAAGCACCGGTAGTCTCCCTGACCAAAGACGAAGGAGAAGATGAAAGCGTTCACAATACATTGATTGATTTGCATCAATGTGTTTTCCTCTAACGGCCTTGTTGGAGCCGCATCAGGATACATCAGTGTTTACACTACAGAAGATATGTGCTCAAATGTGTGTCAGACCACATCGGCAGGTGGAATTCAGTGATCAGATCACAGACCGTCTTGGTGGTTGTTTACTTGTATTTAGCGCTGACCACTTGTGATGCAATCATCCAGGATGCATTTTAAACACCAAGTCTAAATGGGGTCTCTGCCTGTCTGTCTCCCATCAGTCCAGTCCTGCATCTCTATGAGGTCGGAGGAAACATCTGTGAGTCACTTATTGTCATATAAAAACCTGCTGCACACGTGTCAACATGCATATTAAAAGCTGTCTCTCTGACCATGTCTCTGCCTGCCCGTCTCTCAGGTGAACGCCGTCTCCATCCTGACTGTGTTCTCTTGGACACTTACAGAGTCAATCCTCGCTGTGATTGGCTGGTCAAACCCTGACACAGACCGTCTCACCACTCTTACCTCTTGTGTCTCACCTGTCTTACTTTCTGACCCAACCTGTAAAATCAGATGGCAGTCGAAAGGTGACATCACAGTAGTTACACATCAGGATTCAGGTTGATCATTAAAGGAGTTTTATATAAAAAAAAACTGATATTATTTGTATCAACTGTATTTTGTAGCTGTTGTTACTGAACTTAATTGTTTTGTCTTTAATGAACATTGTTTATTGTTGAAATGCTGCTGTAGAAATGAGCTCATGTTAAAAACATAAAAACCTGCTGACTGTACTTTGTCTCCTGCTCCTCAGTGGTTGTATCAGTTAGAGAACTAGTCAATAAACCTGAATCGATCGACCATAATGTATTCATTTAAAACCGAAACATTTTATTAAACAGAGCCTCTAAGTAAACTTGTCCACTCTGGGCTCCTGTGGTTTAGTGAAAATGTTGAACTCAGATGTATGGATTCGAACACACAGTTCTGCTCATAAAACTGAACAGAAAATGGGTTTAGCTTCAACCCAAACCAGCACCTTTAAAATCATCCGTCTTCTATATGGAGTTTGGTCCAGACTGAAAAACATGAAAAGCATCCTGTACACGTACAAAGAAACAAAAACTTACTAATTATACACAGAGGACGTTGTCACAAAAACTGTTCATGTTTAAAGTGTTCATCACCTTCGCTGAGGTCATCAGTTCATGGTCACTGACTGAGAGGAGGAAAAACAACATCCATACAAACTGAACTTAATTCAAAGTTTGTATTAAAAATAAGTCAATGGATACAGTAATTGTTAGGAGCTGCTGTCCAGATGGTGCTCCAGGTGTTGGGAGCAACCCATGCTGTCCAGATGGTGCTCCAGGTGTTGGGAGCAACCCATGCTGTCCAGATGGTGCTCCAGGTGTTAGGAGCAACCCATGCTGTCCAGATGCTGCCTGCTCCTCAGCTGCCCCGGCAGCAGCCTGCAGCGTCTCTGTGTCACTCTGCAGAGGGTTCAGCTGCTTCCTCTCACTGTGCATGTTGTTCTCATGACGTTTCAGATCGGACGCCTGAAAGTACAGAGGGAACCTGAACTCAAAGTGGTACTAATATACACAGACTGCAGCACTGTCAGCAGTAGCACTACCAGTACTAGTAGTACTGTAAAGAGTACCTTGGCAAAGGCCTTGGTGCAGGATGGACAGACGAATGGCTTCTCCCCTCTGTGTCTCCGCTCATGGTCCTTCAGGTGAGACTTGTGTTTAAAGGCCTGCAGACAGGTGAGCATACAGACGGTGAGAGACAGACAAATGAGGGAGAGGTGAGCAGACAGACATGGGCTCACCTTCTCACACATCTGGCAGGCGAATGGCCGCTCATTGCTGTGAACCCGTTCATGCTTTTTCAGGTCCGGAGCTCGAATGAACGATTTCCCGCAGACCTCACACCTGTACGGTTTGAAGCCAGTGTGGATCTTTAGGTGTTCTAGAATGCACAAGTAAAGGCCAAGCCAAGCACGAGCTCAGTTAAACAATAAAAGCACATGATGGTATCCACATCACTGTATTGCAGAATATTTACGCTGCTCAGGTGACCGTACCCAAGGACAGGTGTGTTTTACCTTTCAGGTGAGCATGTGTGGTGAAAGCTTTGGTGCAGATCTCGCAGGCAAACGGCCGATCGGCTGAATGAAGCTTCTCGTGTTTCCTGCACACAGAGATCAGGTGTCAACCCGCTGTGTGAGTCAGATGTGTTTGACCAGGTATGTTGTGCAGGTTTATGGTCCATGGTATCGCACGTACCGGAGTCTGCTCTCATCCAGGAAGGTCTTCCCACACACCTGGCAGGCAAGCTGTTCTCTGTGTCCATAGAGCAGGTATTCAAACTTCATGTCAGTTGTGGCTGTCGACCAACCTGGGGGCTGCTCATCCTTCACCTCTCCCATACTATCAGCAAATGTCAGCGTCTGAGTGGCGTGATGCTCTGCACCCAGCTCTTTAGGCTCTGCCTCCATCTCTGTCACCACATCCTGGTCATAGCAGGTCACCTGTAGACAACACACACAGAGGTCACTTCATCTACCCTGGACATTTTTATAAAGGGAGGACAGAAGACATGTTGGTGAAATGTGTGTGTACCTTGTGTACATCCTCATTGGTCAGTTCTTTCAAGATAGCTTCCTGGACACGCAGTGCGGCGCTAGGAGACTTGTCTAACTCCTGATTGGTCGATGCATCGACAAGTTCATCTGTGGCGGGCGTGTCCTCGTGTTCCCCGAGCACCTGAGCACAAATACAGCTGCCACAACAACAAAAACTTTAGAGAATAAGATGTTTGATCAGCGGTCGGTGGGAGCGTACCTCAGAGTCAGCTGCCAGCTGAGCCTCAGGTGGCAGCGCCATCTTTACAATGTCGTAGGGAAACTTGTCTTTGTCTTCTGATGACATGTCTCGTTTCTGAGGATGAGGAAAGAGGAACAGGAGGAAGCTGCCTATGTTACCTGCTAGCCTAAAGGCTAATGCTAATAAAAATAACCAGGAGAGATCAATAAGAGAGCCATCAGGATCGGAGTGTTTTTCATGAGTGGAACCAAACCCTGGCTGCTGACACATTTTTGCAGTGAACCCACTGTCTCCTTCTATTTCACATGCGTTACTGTTACCTGTATGATGTCACCTGTTGGGATTAACAAGTTCAGCTACCTGAACTGTCATCTGCATGGCGTTACCTGGGAGCAGAGCTTGTCCAGGAAGCGGATCCCGAGGATCTGTCCTGATGACATCATGAGGTTGACATCCCTCTTCTTGACGGAGATCTTCGCTGTGTACATGTAGTTCAGAACCTCCTCGAAGATGTCAGAGCGGATAAAATCTATCTCGATCACTGACGAGTTGTCCACCTAAACAGGTACACAGTCATCAAAGTACTTATCAGTACAAGTATTCAAAATGAAAAATGTTAAGTAGTTCATATGTTTACCTCGTGTTGTTAATAGGGATGTCCTGATCCCTATTGTTTTGGCACTGATACCAATCCAATTCCTTTAGTAGTAAGTGTCTGCTGATACTGATTCCAGTCGGATACTTGCACCGATCAGCCATAACGAGGGGGCGGTTGTGGCTCAGGAGGTAGAGCAGATCGTTAGATAGAGAGATAGAGCGGTTTGATTCCCGGCTTGTCCAGTCAACATGTCGAAGTGTCCTTGAGCAAGACACTGTACCCCCAGGTGATGTCACCGGTGTGTGAATGTGTGAGTGTTTGGGAGTGCGAATGGGTGAATGGCCAAATAGTGTGAAAGCGCTTTGAGTATGCTGTAAAGCATAGAAAGGCGCTATACAGTGCAGTGGCACCTGTCAGTGTGGGGGTGTATTAGGCAGCAGGTGAACATTCAGTCCTCAAAGTTGACGTGTTGGAAGCAGGACACACAGGCAGTGCAATGATCTGCTCACCGTGTCTGCGCTGGGGTTGCAGTGGTAAACCGGCTGCTGGTAATGTAACGATATAGTAAAACATTCTTCTGCGTGTGGACTACTAAAACTTTTAACAATTTAAGTACATTCATTCATTAATTCATTTTCTACCGCTTAGTCCCTGAACGGGGTCACGGGGGGCCGGAGCCAATCCTGGCTGGCAATCGGGCGAAGGCGGGGTACACCCTGGACATGTCGCCATCGCAGGGCTAACACATAGATACCACACGTTTGTCTAATTTAAGTACATTTCTGTGTTAATACTGACTTTCACTTAACATTGCTGCAAGACCTTTTGTAGCAGACGTTTGTGTAACGGAGGAAGCTACAATGTGATATTAGTACTTTTAATTAAGGATGTGAATACTTCCTCTACTACTGGTGCTAACATGCAAACATGCTTCAGTTATATGACATGCTATAGTTATATGCTGTTTCCTTTTTTATCATCTAACTCAGATGATATTTATTCTTCAGAGTCAACCTAGTGCTGCAGTCCAGTTTCGAGCAACTGGCACACACACAGATACACAGAGGTCCTCTTATTCCTCTGAGGGTCAGCTGATATAATAGTAACCATGTAATACTGTAATACCATGATATGTTCTGAGACAGTTACCATACTGTGAAAATGTCACGCTAGTCTACACCAAAAGCACAGCGTGTGGACACCGGTGCACGTTCACTCGTGCATAGGAAGTGCTCGGCGCACAAAAACAGAGAGGAGCCTCCAGAGACACTTTGGAGAAGGGAAAACTACAGAACTCCAGCTGATCACAGATGCTGAGCTGCACCTGCACTTATATGTGCAGTGTCTCCAACCCAAGGTGTGTTGCTGTCACCCATCATCTGCTATGCCTGATGATGGGTGACAGCAACATGTGTTTTAACTGTTGTTGCTTGATGTATTCCCCAATTTTGGTGGAGTTCTGGTCAGAGCTAGTGAGCTGCCATTGTTTTGGTGGATTCTGTGGAGCGTTTTAAGTGTATAGTGCTGAACTGTCTACTCTGCCTTGTGTCAGCTAGCATGTCACTCACGGATTAGCACACAGCAACCAGTATTTTAGCTTCAAGTCTGTTTTTTTTTTAGCTATACACTTAAAACGCTCCACAGATTGATTTTGATTTGATCAAAGAATAAGTCAAAATCAATCTGTGGAGCGTTTTAGGTGTAGAGCTCCAAAAAAAAAACAGACTTGAAGCTAAAAAATACTGGTTGCTGTGTGCTAATGCGTGAGTGACATGCTAGCTGACACAAGGCAGAGTAGACAGTTCAGCTGTTTATCAGGCATCTCAAAAACGCCACCGAGTCCCTCAAATACAGAACTGTAGTTCTAAATAGGGACAGTACCCCATGTTCAATTAACAATCATGTCAAATACCGGGCCAGTAACGTGTGTTTTTCAGGTTAAGTATTCGGACAGTACCTCGTGTTTCTTGAACAGCTTCTTGAAGTAGTTGGAGCAGGCGGCGAGGACGCAGCGGTGAGCGCGGAACTTGACGTCTTCGACGACCACGGCGATGTCGCAGTGCTCGCCCTCCAGGCGCTGCTCGTTCAGCAGCTTCAGGAAGATGCTCTTGTGCTCGTCGTCCACGTACTTCACCGTCTCCGACATCTGGGAAAACAACAGTAACCGATTAAAGGCTCAGTCCGACTGACCCAAAGCCAAACGCACACAAACCGTACACAGTTCGGGTTGGAAGAGCCATGTTTTCCCCTCCAAAGAAACGCAGGCACAGCACCCCATTGTCTCAGGCTGAATGAACATAAAAGGGTCGTAGACAAATTCAGTAAGCAGTAAAGAAACAACTACAAAAGTAACCACAAAGACATTGTTGTACAGGCCGTACTCTCTTCTGTGCAGGAAAGTATGTTCATTTAGAACTTTTACCTCCACTCATTGTTTTACCGAACTTAAACAGTCGTTTGGCGCTACGGACTTTTTCTCCATACTTTTGTGCTTAAGGGACACAGCACAGCGGCATTCCAACAATGCACTGAAATCGTACGTACACGATGATTAAATAATTAAACATCTCCTCAGAAAAGCTTTATAAACGTTTTTCCTTTTAATACTGCAAGAACATCAAGGGTATAATAAAACCGTCAGTTAGCCCAGCGTTTCAACGTAATTTGTCCAGAGCTCGCTTTAACCATAAACACTCTCTGTGCACCTTTTTCTCTTAGTTAAACTGTATATTGATTATTGACACACTACTCAGATACACTGCTGTCAGCGTAAGGTCACGCGCAGTCCATTGACACTCGCACCCTGTGACAGGTTGATGTCTAAATCAAATAAAAGGAGAGAAACTCAGAGCATCATGGGGCCCCCCAGCAGCCTAGGCCTATAGCAGCATAACTAAGGGAAGGCTCAGGGTCACCTGATCCAGCCCTAAACTATAAACTTTATCAAAAAGGAAAGTCTCAAGTCTAATCTTAAAGGTAGAGAGGGTGTCCGCCTCCCGAACTGAGACTTAGTTCCATAGGAGAGGAGCTTGATAGCTAAAGGCTCTGCCTCCCGTTCTACTTCTGTGGATTCTAGGAACCACAGGTAAACCTGCACTCTGAGAGCGAAGTGCTCTGTTAGGATGATAAGGCTCTACGAGGTCTTTAAGATATGATGGAGCCCTGTCATTTAGGGCTTTGTATGTTAGGAGAAGGATTTTAAATTCTATTCTGAATTTTACAGGGAGCCAGTGGAGAGAAGCTAATATGGGAGAAATATGATCTCTCTTGCTAGTGCCTGTTAGTACTCTGGCTGCAGCATTTTGGATTAACTGGAGGCTTTTTAGGGAACTACTAGGACATCCTGATAGTAAAGAGTTACAGTAGTCCAGCCTGGAAGTAACAAATGCATGGACCAGTTTTTCAGCATCACTTTGAGACAGGATGCTCATGATTTTTGCAATATTGCTGCAGTCTAAATGGGAATCTCGGTGGCTTCGCTGCGTCAGCTCCAACAATGCATCATTAATTCTAATCCAGTAAAAAGTGCCATTCTACATAATCACTACTGTAAGCATATTTTGATGCAGATACTTTTGTACTCTTACTTTTGAATGTGGGACTTTTACTTGTAATAGAGAATTTTTACACTGTGGTATTTCTACTTTTGCTGCAGTAACTGGTCAGAGTAGCTACTCTGCTGGACATGGAGTATTTAAACATTCTTGTATTAGTGTTTTATTAGTACTTTTACTGCAGTAAAGCAGTACTCCTTCCAGCATGGCCTGTTGCCATGGTTAATCATAGTACTGATGATGTTTGAACCTGGACCTGGACTTCCTCTCAGGTTTACCCCAGCCGGCTATTTGAACCCAGTAGTTCATGTACGTATACTGCTGCGGACACGCGCACTAGAGCGTGTGCACGCTTCATGAAGCTGTGAACGCAGACAGCACACGGGCTAGCCGTCAGCTTCGGGTTTGAACCCGCTATTTATTTAAACAGACCGTGTTTTGGCGTTTAGCCTCTATAGTCTGGGTCTGGACCTGGAGCGACGACAGAGACCAGGTCCCGGTTCCACTCTTTTCACAGTTCATCTGACCCGTACTTTTGTGCGAGCTAAGATAACAGGCTAAAAGCTGCTGTAATTCGTGATCCAGATCGAACCGTTTTAATGGTGAACCAGGTCGGGAGGTAGCGAGAGGATGGCGCTGTGTCGGTATCTGAGCGGAGGGTGGCTAACGTTAGCCTGTGGGATACGATGGAGCTAACGTAACATGCGGATAAAATGTCAAATTACGCCAGCGTTACTGGCGGACACACCGGACTCCGGTCGCTACTCCAGCCGACCGGTGTTTAACGTTAGTCAGCGGCTAAATTTCTCCGGGTCTCGGTGTTTAACGGGTGTTTTGTGATGAAATTCGGTGTTATCATTAAATGGCGGACAATCAGGCCTGCTGCTCCGCCCGAACACAAAATGGCGTTTATTCCTAAGTTTCCCCGGTAAACCTGCTAAACCTGCCGATCGACAGGTTGCTGCTCTGCAGTCCCCGGGACCGGCACGCAGGCACGCGAGCAGCGACACGAACGAGACGGAGCTCGCTGCTCGAGAGCGCGCAAACAGCCCCGCTGAAGCGGAGCCGCAGCCGGGAGACGTGGTGAGCGCGGGGCCAGCGGGAGCGGGCTCTTACCGTGACACAGGCCCCGGGTGAGTGTGTTCTTCTGAGTGAGTCCGCGCACCGGGAGCTCCGGGAGACACTATTTCCGGATGTTGTTGTTGATGAGTACGAGCACCAGACGGAAGGCCGCGCGTTGCGCCAGCACGCACAATCCACAGGAGCACGCAGGCAGCGCGCCAACGGACCGGGCACGCATGCGCACTCCTCATGTGTCCAACCTCCCGAGAGGGACCTGGCTTCATACAAGATGGCGGACTGTCATCCTCAGCCTGAAGTTGGGTTATGGTTGAGGTTAACCATAGAGCTGCCGAAGTTAGCGACTTGTACTAATAGTACTTTCGCCATCTTGTCTGAAGCCAAGGCCCAAACCCAGTGTCCTCCCTATGGACTGAAGCCCTGAACCCCCAAAGACTGCTGGAAATTGTATAAATAGGATGGGACAGTCACTTTGTGACTATCACGTCACCCTGACAACGCCAAAACAATGCCATAGTTCTCACTGTTGTGGGTTTAGGGCTTTTTATTTTACGCTTTTCACTTTCCTTACTGCCATTACGCTTCAGGGACCGACTGGCTGGTTTGAACGTGATCCAGGCTCTTGCCTTAGAGTGGATGAGGGCATGTGTTACTTACTTGATCAATTTAATATATATTTTTGTTGAAATGGCATCATAAAGAAAAAATCCGTTAACATAAGAATGACTGTTCGTTTACAGTTCGTCATCTTTATTTTTCTTATCTCTGTTTTATGGCATTTGTTTTCCTGTTTGCATCATATCAGGTCCAAGTACTAATTTGAGACACTTTACCTGACTTACCACTTTACCCTCTACTACCTCACAGAGGGAAATAAACAAAAAGGTATTGAGAAGATCAGGACAACTGTAGTGGCATTTCTCACTATTCCAATTCTCCAATTATTCTCCAATAAAATCGTACTTAAGATTTTAAATGCAGGACCTTTACTTGTAATAAAGTATTTTTCAGTGTGCTATTAGTACTTTTAGTAATAAAGATTGAGAGTGCTTTGTGTAGTTTTAATATTTCCTTCTATTTAGGAAAAATCTAAATTATTACAAATAAAATGAGAATAACAATAAAGGGAATATTGAAGATATGAAATTGTTTTATAACTGTTGTAAATGTTTTTATGCCAGCTGTATCATTCCAACAGAATATATTTCACCAATCATTACAGCCAATTATCGTCCGTCACATGTTCATTCGTTCAAAACAAACTTTGGCATAAAAAATATTGACAAAAGAGTTTTTACATTATAGAAATAAAATTACAAATATCTTACCAGACAGACACCTTTCCTCTTTACATAAAGAAACTGGAAACATCTGCCAGGTGTAAATCCACAAGAACACAATGTCATCAGGGTCAAAAACAGCCAATCGGGAAAAGGATAATGATAAACTCTTACCGCGTTCAGAAACATGAAAACAAATATCTTTAGATTCTTTTTTTAAGTATAGTTTCCTAAATGTCACCCCCTCCCAAGTGAGAGAGTCGCTGTGGCAATGGTGGGTATGGGTAAAAGACGGCCTGTGCTCCAACATCAGAACTCTACTACCCACAGTCTCCTGCATGAAGCAGGTAAAAGAAGAATGGTACAGACACTTTCACTCTGTCCTAATCAGTAATTAATAATCAGTAACAGCCCATATGAACCGACAACTGCAGTGAGATATAACGGATCATTATAAATATATCAAGTTCTATTAGTATTGATCACCTACCACAATTGATTAGATACCAGATTAGCCTATTAGCTGTGTCCATAAAGAGGGCTGGGCCAGTCAGAGCAGTTCATATTGCCGCAGGTGCATACGCTGGATGATGTCCCGACAGTCGTTGAAAACACGGCGGATATTCTCCGTGTCAATGGCGCAGGTGAAGTGAGGGTAACAGTGATGTTTCCCGTCGACACTCCCCGTGCTGATCCTCTGCAGCACGAGAGTTAGCATGTTAGTCACTTTAACATGTCAGCGTGCTGGTTTCAATGTGTCAGTATATGAATATATATGAACATTTTGCAAAATAAAAGACATTTAGTGAAACAGCTCTGCCCGTAACTACCTGACGGAACTGTTTATTCAAATGAATGGGAAAATTCTACTTCAGCATACTTTCAGCTAGCAAAACCATTGAGATGTCAAAATGTTCAGCATTTTCAGGGCGATCTTTTAGCACTCAGCATCCATACGCAGTTTCTTCAGATAATGCATTTCTCTAGTTTATTGTTAATATTTTACATGATGTGTTATTTTACTTTTGATACATGGAATACATTTCAAGAATTGTGTGTATATTACTTTCAGTGTGTCTTTACCAGGAACTCGTCTCTGATGAACAACTTAGCTCGGGTCACTTTGGGGTCTTCATCGGTATCTGGAACAGCTGGAAACGCAAAGACATGGCCGTCAGGAGGAGGTGTGTATACTCCATGGTCGTGTTTGTGCACAGTACTGCAAAAGGTTCTCACATCCTTCAGTAAAATTACCAGTACAACTATGTAAAAATCTACTTTGGCGTTTACTATGTTATATATAGTTAGCTAGTTTAGTCCAGATGTTCCCAACCTATGGGTCAGGCTTCTCCAAAGGGTCACCTGACTATAAGTGACTATGAGTTGACTAAGACTATGAGTTGTCACATGACTATAAGGAAGATTCAGTGTTTTGTTCTTGGTGAAATATAAATTTTTTGAACATTTACTGAAAAGAACAGATGTTTATGATAGAAATTCAGAGTAAAAAAATGTATTTCTTTCTGAATTGTAGTGGAGTATGAAGTAGCAAAAGAAGGAAATATTCAAGAATAGCAACTCAAAATTATACTTACAGTCCTTGACTAAACGTTTTAATCATAGTGTCTACTGGGTGTGTATTTGTGTATTTATACTGTATCAGTGTTGTTTGTACCATCGGCAGGTAGTTGGTAGTTGTTGTATTCTGGAAAATAATCCTCCAGTTTAGATTTTCCAGCCAGGATCTTGTCGGCAAGAACGTCCTGTTTGTTCAGGAACAGGATCACAGAAATAGTCTTCAGAAACCTGTAGCCAATCACAGAGCAGACATGGTTAGCTAGAACCAGCCAGAGAGCAGACAGGGCTAATTACAACAAATCACAGAGCAATGAAGTTAACTACAGCCAACCACAGAGAAGGCAGGGCTAGTTACAGCCAATCACAGAGAAGGCAGGGCTAACTACAACCAATCAAAGCACAGACAGGGCTAAGTCCAGGTAATCACAGCACAGAGATGGGAAAATTACACACATTCGTTACTCAAGTAGAAGATTGTTGATGTCTGTCAGTCTCCAGCCTGGATTGGCTCATTTGTCTGAGGCGGACTGAAACAATAATTCAGGCCAGGAACAGATCACCCTGTTCACACAGACTGTTTGACAGCCAATGTTGTAGGCTAACCCTCTTTGTTGATGTCACAGGTACAAGACCAGTTATAAATTTGGCCACTATGTTCATGTGGGAGGAAACTTAGAGGCTACAAAATACAAACATTGGGATCTGACCAAAAAATAGCCTGTCTGAATAATGAGTTTTAAAGGTGTGCTGTGGGTGAGCCCTCAAAAACTCACTAGGATTAAACCAGTCATAGGACATAGCTTACAAATGTACAAGGTTAGACGCACAGTAAACACTTTTTAAAAAGACAATGAGTTAGCTCAAATGTTCAACTGATCTTTATATTCAGGCATTAAGTGCATCAAAAAAAAAAAACCTCACATATACATATATTTACTAAAGTTGAACATAAGCTACAACAGTTTATGGGGCAGTGACTCCATGTCATTTCTTTGGGCGGTGCCTGACCAGAACCCATGAGCTAAGGCCTGGCCACCAGACACTCGCCGCCAAGCTCAAGGTAGCGCAAATTGAAGTGGCCAATTTCATCAGGGTTTTGAATTGCTCCCCTCATGTATTATAACTAAAAGTATTGAGCCTGATTTGAAAATGTAAGGAGCAGAAAGTACAAATGTTTGTGTTATAATGTAGGGAGTAAAAGTAAAAAGTCAGAAAGATAAATACTTGAGTGAAGATACCTGAAAAATGTACTTCAGTACAGAAACTACATATTTGTACTTTCTTATGTCGCACCTTTGCAGACAGGGCTAACTCCAGCTAATTAGAGCAAAGACATGGCTAACTTCAGCTAATCATAGCACAGACAGGACTATATCTAGCCAGTCAGAGCACAGACAAGGCCAAGACCTATTGGTCCAGATGGATCTGAAGAGGTCCAGAGACTCTCGGAGCCGGTTGGTGGAGTTGTCCTCTCGGATCACCATGTTGTAGCTGCTGCTGGCCGCCACAAAGATGATGGCTGTCACATCTAGACATGGGAAAACAACTTTTAATAAAATACACTCTTCTGCAGTTAATTCTTAGTTTTCTTTTCTCACCATTGAAGCACTGGATCCACTTCCTGCGCTCATCTCTCTGTCCTCCTACATCAAACATACTGACACACAGCACAAAAGTGTGTTTCAGGTTCAAGTTCTTGCCCTCAGGCTCAGTTGTTTACACTTTATTTCAGGTTGTCATCCTTTTGGTCCATAGCTGTACAAGCTATGGACCAAAAGGTCCTGAAGCATTCATTGCACCACTGTACATTATCTACAAGACATGCAACTAGTTACCGGTGTTTAACAACTACTGTAGTGTTAACTTAAGATGCATATGGCTCACTGCTAAAGCTAACAGTTAACCTCATTTTAACAGTTAACACAGCCTCGAGCAAAAATAAAGAGATACTGACATACTATCAAACATTATGACAGTATCAAACAGTATGAGACACAGCGCTGCTGGAGCACTAACAGCAAATTATAGATGTATTGTTTTGATCTCTCTACATTGGCTTCCCATCAAATTCAGAATTCACTTCAAGATCCTGGTAGCCACATTCAGAGCCCTGCATGGTCAGGCACCTAGCCTAAATCAGAGATCTATGTACTATAGCCTTACGCTGTCAGTCTCTTCCTGGATCCAGACTTAAAACAAGAAGTGACTGTGCCTTTGAAGTTGTGGCTCCTAAACCCTGTAACTCTCTTCCAACGGACTTAAGTTCTGTGGATACTTTGGACATTTTTAAAAAGCAGCTCAAGACCCATTCTTATTAAATGGCTTTGAAATAGTGATTTTATTGTGTTGCCATTTTTGCAGTGCTCTTATTATATCGTTTTTATAGATATTGCTATTTTATAGGATATAGGCTATAGTTTATATTCTGCACTGTTGTGTGAAGCACTTTGTGACCGTTGATCTAGAAAGGTGCTATATAAATAAACTTATATGGACAGTATGGACCAAAGGGAGCATGAGAGTGGAGGAGGAGGACAGCCAAGTGCAGAAGCAGCAGGTCAGATGGAGCAAACACAGAGAGATGTAGAAGCAAAGCAGCCTCGTTTCTATTTTTCTGTTCATAGTGATTCAAGTATTACTGCATTTAATCATTTGTGAAAGCACGTGGTTGTCCCCCACTCCCTCATCTTGAATGTTCCTAATGTTTAATTTTGACCCAACTTAAAAAAAAACCCTCAGGTGGTCATCAGTGCAAGACAGACAGAGAGGGTGGGACTAAAGACACTCACTGGAAGTTGACTTTGTCCACCTGAAACCTGGTTTCACAAATCCCTGATGTCAGAACTCTGCAACGCAACAAATCCTGCAGGAGAAGAAGAAAAGATTGTTAGTGTAAGCCCAGCAACAGATGAGTCATCCTGACTGCTGGAAGCTGATTGGTGGGTTTTATACCTGGTCATTAGGTGAGTAGTCTGTCCTTCTGACTGAGTCCAACCTGTCCAGGAAGCTGCAACACAGGTGTTCATGTAGCATGCTATTGTGACATAGCAGGTCTTTTCAGTCAATCACCTGCCTATGCCACCCCCACCCACTCTCACAACCAGGGTTAGTGGAGCATTCTGATTGGTTGGCTGGGCTTTAAAATGTCACAGTTTGTCCAACTGTGTTTGTTGTATATTTGTGTTATTGACATTATGAGGACTGTGGCATACCACCACATTGTAGGAACTTGACTGCCTTATAGGGATTCAACCAAGTCCCAGTTAACCAAAGCACTTATAGGATCAGACTTGTATTTAGGTTAGGTTTAATGTTGTGTGTGAGTCTTACTACTGAGCACAGTCGATCAGCTGATATTCATTGGAGCGTTCAAAACACACCTTCACACCGCTGTCCTCCCATAGCTTGTGAGTATGCTCAAAGAATTCCTGAGACAGACACACAGTTCATTTGTTAACAGTGAAACCCCAGACACAAAAGTAAAAACTTGAAAATTTTGAAAACAAACCCCAAAATTAAGATAATAGAATAGCCAACTAAAATATCTAGGTAAAACTAGGCGGCAACCTCAGAGGCTGAGAAATGAAGACAATGCAGAAGTGTCAAGTCCTGTAGTTCCTAGAACGGCCACATGAGGCAGGCTCCAAAAGGGAGTCAGCCCCCATAGACTCCCATGTTAAAATGCCCAACCTTACAGCAGAAATAAACATGTTTACAGCCTGGTTCAAAACACAGTTTTGGTCGCTATAGCTAATTTTGCCTTCCATGGGGTTGAATTTTTTTGTAACTCGCCGCTCAGGAATTAGAGCGGGTTGTCTCCCAACCGGAAGGTTGGCAGTTTGAATCCCGGCTTGTCAGTCCCCATGTTGAACTGTCCTGGAGCAAGACACTAAAATCCCAGTTGTTCCTGGTGATGTCACCGTGAATGTTTTGAGAGAGCGAATGGGTGACTGGCCAAACAGTGTGAAAGCTCTTTGAGTGTGCTGCAGTGCATAGAAAAGTGCTATACATGTGTAAGACCATTTCAATGTTATGCATAATTAAGGGCGTAGCCACTTTGAGTAACAGGTGGGTGGGTCCCACCTCGGTTGGCTGGCCGCTGGCTGTCTAGCAAGCTCCACTCAGAGCCAGAGTCACGCGGGGTGAAACGCTTCCAATATGGCGATGGCCAGCAATGACCTTCAAAACTACTCTTCCGAAAACCAATGGGTCATGGTGGGTTTGTCCAGCTTTTATCTACAGTCAGTGGGTAAAACCTGACACACAATAACTTTGTATTTGTTCCCTGTTGGAAAGAATCTTGTGAATATGAGTCACACCAGATTGGAAAACCTGGTTAATAATGATGGCATTCAATAGCATTTTATTGGATCTGAATTCACTTCTGAATCTCTTATTAAATCTGTCTATGTACTTTGTCGGTATCACAATTATCATATTTTACTGCTGTTTTGTCAAGTCCAGAGCAGTTAAGGCTGTCGGCCATATTTGTTTACAAGTGTGTTCCAAACTAACATGTAATATATAACATTTAAGACTGCACAGGTTTCACCTTTAAGCACTTCATGGTCTAACTATTAGCTCAGCCTCAGATCCAAACAAAGGGTATTTCCCCAGTCCTGGTTCTGGATTAAAAGGGACAAAGCTTTTGCAGTCCAGAACCCTTAGCTCTCCATCCAGTAATAAAATTCCAGAATGCTTAAGATCATTATTATTGTTCAGTTATGAGTTATATAATGCATTAATGGCTATGGAGGCCCAGTGACTTCCATTATATTTATAACTCAGCATCTAAATACAAAAAAACACAATTCAAATTTCTAAATGCTTCTGCTAAACACTGTTCTTAAATTGTTGTGGCGGCATGTACAGAAGACACTGTAGTCTACAGAGGCCTATTCACTTCCACTATATCTATACCTGGACACCTGTATACAGTACAAACTAAACATTTAAAAATGCTCAATATGACATACTGATCAGCTGCATATAATCATCAGTGTAGTGACATTTATGGCATTAACATCTACTAAAGTCCTCTGTCTCTCTGTCTGTGCCAGGCATGCAGTGCATTAAATCCTGCATTTGTCTGCATTCACATGCATGCTGTTCAGGCGAGAGAGTGACACTGTCTGATTGGTGTGTGCAGCCAGTCGACCAATCATCAGCAGCATAGGACAAACAGGAAGACTCTTGTTTTGTCTCTCTGCAGTCCTGGGAGATGGCAGATGTGGAGCTAATGAGGCCTCGGGCGAGACGTGCTGTCCCAGATGAACCGGTTTCATCATGTCATTAAGCTCATTAAAACAAACAACTTGTAACAGCTCCCCCGGTGCTGCTTTTCAGGAACATTTCACCCATTTTGTTCAGGTAACTGCAGTCCAACACTGAGGATGAATAATAGGTTGGTGGTGGTTTCCTCCACAGGTGGCTGTTCACGTGGACCAGCAGCCGCTGGACTCTGAACCGTGTCAGAGTAATGTATCACCTTCACCTGTTCGATACTTCATCATGTTTAAATTCAGCGCTGAAAAGTATTTATTTTATTTAACCAAGGTTTTAGTAGGGCAAACCCCAATGAGGTTAGAAACCTCTTACAATGTTGCCCTGGAAAGTAACTAAGTAAATTTATTCAAATACTATACAGGTAAAATTGAGGTGTTTGTTCTTGAGTATTTTCATTTCCTGCTACTTCATACTTGGACTTCGTTGACACTAGGATTGAAGCCCAAGTATGAAGTAGGATGTTCGATGACACCTGAGCTGGATTCCCAGCTCAGGCTCTGTGCAGTGGAGCTTTCCTCCATCCTCCACGCCATCTTCTGGGACTCCTACAAGACAGCCTCTGGAAAACGGCCACCATCATATACCAGCACACACTAAACACTGGCCCTCAGAACCCAGCAACTACAGACCACTCACTTCAATTTGATTATAAACTCAGAACCTTGCCGGGCAGTGATAATCAGGAGATGTGAATGTCTGACCTGTTCTTGTAGGCAGTATTGTGCAAGTTCACATTTCAGAAGAGCTAGCACAAAGTTCAGGCCACACTCCCCGTGTAAGCTCAACTCATGCTGGGATTGGACCCACAAACACACACTGGCAAATGGCCTATAGGGTCACTCAACTGAAACTCAGTGTGGTTCATAATATCTACAACAACAGATCCCCTGAATATGCTTGTGACCACATTGTCAGGGTTGGAGGAACCCGTGCTCATCATCTGCAGGGGTGTCAAACTCAATCGCACAGGGGGCCAAAACTCAAAGCACACTTTAGGTTGCGGGCCTAACAGGATAAACATTTATTGAACAGACTAAATCTAACATAAATATGAATCGAAACAGACAGCATACAATATTATTCCAAAATAAATAAACTTGAACAGATTCCTCTTCAACTCCTCTACCTTCTGTAGCTGCTGCTCTGCATTCATGTTTTTCAGCTTGTCCTGATGTTTTGTCTGGTAGTGCCGGTGTTCTGTCAGATTTTGCTACCTATCAAGACATGCTACCCGCCGTTCACAAAGTGGTTAGGGTTAGGGTGATGAATTGGGGTGGGGTTAGTCAGTCCATAGACTTTGCAACAAGGTAGTATATCTCGACAAGGTAGCAAAATCTGACAGAACACCGTCTTGGGTTATATTCCTTAATTACAGCCACATTAGCTCCACAAATAAGACACATGGGTTTACCGGCAATTTCAGTAAACATATACTCAGCCTCCCACTGGTTTTGAAAGGCTCTGTTTTCAGAATCAACTTTTCTCTTGGCCATTCTTAGGGGCTAGCTTTGACTTGAAATTAGGGTTGCATACATCAACAGACACTTGATTGATCTGACGTAATCGATGCAGGAATGATTACAGGTAGCCCATCGTTCGGTGTGGCAGCTGTTGCACTGCATTATGGGATTCATAGTTTGTGTGTTATCGGCACTTCATATCGCTATTAAAAAAAGATATATAAAATGATCTCGCGGGCCTTGAGTTTGACATATGTGATCTAGAGCTAGTGTTACCAAGGGTCAAAACCCATACGGGTGTTTGTTCCTTTAGATCATGTGGAGTAAGAAACTGGAATAAGTTACCATCAAACATTAAAATCACAGGCAACACTTCAAAAACAAAGTAAAGGCCTGGCCTACAGAAAGCTTTTTAATTGATGCTTATTATGATGATGACATGTTTTGTTTGTTGAATGTTTCAGACTTGTTGTTGCACTGATTCTGCACACCGTCCTGCCAGTTGTCACACCACAGCTGGAGCCTAACCAGGGGGACAGCCTGCCTCCTCCACCCTCTCCTCCAACACTTGGAATCACCAGTAAATTTCAGTCCTTTTGTTGATTTCAGATAAGCCATTAACACAATGCAGTGCCACCAGATGATCAGGAAACTCCACCACCTCATCCCTCCACTCCTCATCCCCTGAGTTCATGACTTCCTCACCAACCATCAGAAACAACTCTGGAGCCCCCAAGCTTGTGTCCTCAGCCTGTCGCTGTTGAACAGCCTGCTAAAGCTCTGAAAGGCTGTCGGGTATTTTCTTCCTGATAATCAGAGCTTTATCACTGTGACTCGACTCAAACATCAAACATGAGGCATGACCTGGGGCAGAATATGAACCAGAGACCCTGAAGTCCAGTCCACGCCGGCTCCACCTCACAACCTACAAGACCTAAAGGATCTGCTGCTGACATCTTGGTGCCAGCTCCCACAGCGACCTTCAGACATAATTATGGAAAACTGCAGTATTTTTATGAGTTGGTCTTTTTCAGTTTTCCTTAACAGTGTGCCTTGTCATTGTCACATGAAGTATAATATATACAACAAAGACTATGTTGGTACTACTGATCATACGTCGGTACGTTGTGATCATAGTCTATCACAACGGTGCTGCCGCAGCATCCATTGTTGGCATTATATTCACCGCTGTTCCTAATATTCTGACCTCCTCAGGTATAGAAACAGTTGCAGTTGACCTGCACCTTCAGCCTGTACCTGTGTGTACAGGTATGTGTTACCTCTGTGTATTCGAAGTCCAACAGTGGTGCAATGCTCAAGATGTAGTCGACTCTGAACTGGTTGTCGGGGTTTCCCACAGAGACAGGGGGAGTTATTGTACCCATGGCTAACACGATGGCCTGAAACACACAGGGGGTCATCAGCCTTTGCAAATGTAAAGATTAAATTCAGACTCTAACTTAAAGACTTGACTTGGACTCTAAAAGGATTCAGTTCAGAGTAATTTAAGGACTTAACTCAGACTCCAAGTTAAAGACTTGACTTGGGCCAATCAGAGTTTCTTTCAGTGACTTCCTCCTTTGTTCTTGTCATAATCACTCCACCACGGGAGGATGACCAACAGTAAAACCTAACTGTGGGTTGAAGAAGGGCCTGGAGTCTCATTATTTACAGCAGGACAGTGCTACAGATGCAAGTCATGTGACCTACCACTATGGCATCCTTCACATTCTTCCTGATGTCCAGAATCTTCTGCTGCTTCTCTCTGGAAACAAACCAACAAACTTTACATTAACCCCATCAGACCCAGCCTCCACTGTTGTTTTAAATTCGGCCTGAGTTCAGTAACAACATAGACCCAAGCCAGAAACAGTGTTTCTGCTGATAATGAGTCTTGGTGGCAGCCTGTCGTGCCAGAATCCTTGTCACAAAGGAAGTCAATCCAGTCCATCGGTCATCTAATCCAACACTTGTGACTCGCCCAGTCAGCCCATGAAAAAAACAGGTGCAGTTGAGGACAAATCATACTGAGTACTCTTTAGATGAGTTTTTACTTGCATCGTACACAACAGATGTGTCAATGGATCGTGACTGAGACATGCGATCACCTCTGGACCCCTGTGGTTTTTAATGTTTCAGGTCTACTTTACTTCTGGTTCGTTCTGTGAAGCATAATCTCCACAGACAGCAGTTCAAGATTATGGTACCCCACTCAAGCTCTTCATTCACAGGAAACACTGTACCAATTCAAATTACTTGTACTTTAACATTTCAGAATAAAAGCTAGTGCAGTTGTTTTGTGTGAGTGAAACATTTGGACTCACTCATCATTGAAGCCATTGACATGAAGAATCTTCATCTGTTTCACTATGGTGCTTTTACCTGATTCTCCTGCACCTGCAGGTAGGGAGAGAGAGACA